CATTTTGGCTTACTCAAAACAAAACAACAAACAAACAAAATCCCAAAGCTTGCTAAATGTCATAAGAAACAAAGGAAGACTTACAATTGAAGGAGACTAATGAGGAATAATAACTAAATGCAAAATGGGATTCCAGATCACATCCTGGAACCAAAAAGGGACATTAGTAAAAAATTCATGAAATTCAAGTCCTACAGTTTAATTAATCATATTGTTGGCCAGGAGCAGTGGCTCATGCCTATAATCCCAACACTTTGGGAGGATGAGGGGAGAAGATCGCTAGAGTCCAGGAGTACAAGACCAATCTGAGCAACATGGTGAAACCCTGTCTTTTTTAGAAAAAAATAGAAAAAACAACTAGCTGGGCATGATGGCGTGTGCCTGTAGTCCCAGGTCCCTGAGAATCTGAGGTGAGAGAATTGCTTGAGCCCACAAGGTTGAGGTTGCAATGAGCTAAGATCATACCAGTGCACTCCAGCCTGGGCGACAGAGCACACCTGTCTTGAAAATAAAAGTAATATTGAGGACGGAAGAGGTGGTTCATGCCTGTGATCCCAGCACTTTGGGAGGCTGAGGCAGGAGGATTGCTTGAACGCGGGAATTCAATACCAGCCTGGGCAACATAGAGAGGGCCCATCTCTATAAAAAATATAAAAAGTATGTGGGCATGGTGGCACATGCCTGTAATCCCAGCTACTCAGGAGGCTGAGATGGGAGGATGGCTTGAGCCTGAGAGGTAGAGGTTGCAGTGGGCTGAGATCATGCTACTGCACTCCAGCCTGGGCGACAGAGCGAGATCCTGTTGCAATAATAATAATAATATTGGCCCGGCATGGTGGCTCACACCTGTAATCCCAGCACTTTGGGAGGCCGAGGCAGGCAGATCATGAGGTCAGGGTGGGTTCAAGACCAGCCTGGCCAATACGGTGAAACCCTGTCTCTACTAAAAATACAAAAATTAGCCTGGCGTGGTGGCACACGTCTGTAATTCCAGCTACTTGGGAGGCTGAGGCAAGAAAATCACTTGAACTCAGAAGGCATAGGTTGCAGCGAGCTGAGATCACACCACTGCACTCCAGCCTGGGCGACAGAGCAAGACTCTGTCTCAAATGATAATAACAATAATAATGTACTAATATTAATTTCCTATTTTTGGTTACATAAGATTATTAATACTAAGCAAGCAGGTTGAAAGATACAAGAAAACTCTACTATGTTTGCAACTTTTCTCTAACTTAAAAACTAGTTCAGGCTGGGCACAGTGGCTTACAACTGTAATCCCAGCACTCTGGGAGGCCGAGGCGGGTGGATCACCTGAGGTCAGGAGTTGGAGACAGCCTGGCCAACAGACTCTACTAAAAATACAAAAAGTATCTGGGTGTGGGGCACATGCCTGTAATCCCAGCTGCTCAGGAAACTGAGGCAGGAGAATCGCTTGAACCTGGGAGGCAGAGGTTGCAGTGAGCCGAGAGCACGCCATTGCACTCCAACCTGGGCAACAGAGAGAGACCTTGTTTCAAAACAAACAAACAAACAAACAACTCGTTCAAATAAAGTTTTTGAAATTCACAAGGCTGGGCATGCCTGTAATCCCAGCACTTTGTGGGATCTGTGTGGGAGGATCACTTGAGCCCGGGAGTTGGAGACCAGCCTGGGCAAAAGAGCAAGACCCTGTTTGAATTTAAAACAAAAACAAAAACAAAAAACCACAATTGTCATCTCACAGCTTCCATGGGTCAAAAGGCTATGGCACAACTTAGCTAGATCCTCTGCTCAGGAGCTTATAGGCTGAAATTAACCTGTTATCTGGGCTGCATTCTCATCTGGAGGTTTCACGAGGGGAAGAATCCACTTCCAAACCCATTCAGGTTGTTGGCAGAATGAATTTCCTTGTGGTTGGATGACTGATGACAGCCAGATGTTTGCTGGCTATTGGTTGGAGGCTACCTTCAGGTCCCAGAGTCCTAGAAGCCATCCACAGTTCCCTGCTGCATGGCCCTCCCCATAAGCTGGTCATGGCATGGCTGTTTGCTTCTTCAAGACTAGCAGTAGCATCTCTCCCCACAGTTGGTTAAGATGAAATCTATAAAAAAACAGCAGGTGAGTCACATCCCATCACATATGCCCTACTCTGTGGGCCAGGAGCAACTCACAGTTCCTGCGCACACTCAAGAGGAAGGAATTACACAAGGGCAGGACCCACTGGGGGTCAGTTAGGGTGTGCTGGCCACACTCTCCATTCCCTTCATTCTTTACAACAAATTTGTCAAAGTACCTGGACTGTGTAACTTGCAGAGTTTCCTATAGTCTGGATTTTGCTAATTGTACACTCCTGGTGCAATTCAGCATGTTCCTTTGTTCTCTGCATTTCTGGTGAATTGGCAGCTGGACACAGAGAATTGATCAGGCTCAGGTTGGATCCCGTTAGCAACATTTTAGGTAGTGATGTGTGGTCTTCACGCAGGAGGCACATAGCATCTGTCTTTTGGTGATGTTACTGGCTATTGAGACTTAATGCCTACATTAATTAATTAACTACGGGCAGCAAAATTATGGTATTCTAATTCCATTCTTTCTTTTTCTTTTATTCATTGTATTTATTTATTTATTTGTTTTGGGATACAGTCTCGCTCTGTCACCCAGGCTGGAGTGCAGTGGAGTGATCTTGGCTCACTGCAACCTCTGCCTCCCGGGTACAAGCAATTCTCCTGTCTCAGCCTCCCGAGTAGCTGAGACTACAGGTACACACCACAATGCCTAGCTAAATTTTGTATTTTTAGTAGAGATGGGGTTTCCTCATATTGGTCAGGCTGGTCTTGTACTCTTGACCTCAGGTGATCCACTGCCTCGGCCTCCCAAAATGCTGGGATTACAGGTATGAGCCACTGCACCCAGCCTGTAATATTTTCATAAGATGATGCTTTCCTTCATCTATTATTTAAGTCTAGTTCATATAGGGAAGGAAGGATAAATGTTTGATTCACTTATTTACCAGTTTTTGAGATAAATATATTGGTGACCAGTTTTTTTTTTTTTTTTTTTTTTTTTTTGAGACAGAGTCTTGCTCTGTGCCCCAGGTTGGAGTGCAGTGGCGCGATCTCGGCTCACTGCAAGCTCCGCCCCCCTGGGTTCACGCCATTCTCCTGCCTCAGCCTCCCGAGTAGCTGGGACTACAGGCGCCCGCCACCTCGCCCGGCTAATTTTCTTGTATTTTTAGTAGAGACGGGGTTTCACCGTGTTAGCCAGGATGGTCTCGATCTCCTGACCTCGTGATCCGCCCATCTCGGCCTCCCAAAGTGCTGGGATTACAGGCTTGAGCCACCGCTCCCGGCCGACCAGTTGTTTTTTAACAGTATTATGAACCCATAGATTTAAACCTCTTTGATTGATTTGAACTCATTGCAATTCTTGTCCTTACTAAAGCTCACATGGTCTAGTGGGAGCCTCTTCAAACTGGATCCTGAGTCTTTTTGACATTATCCTATTAGTCTTTGAGAGCTGCCTTGTAAGCTGGTATGTAAAGGTGATCCTACTCTAGTCTTGAAGCAAAGCGTTTTTTTTTTCTTAAGAGATGGGATCTTGCTCTGTTGCCCTGGCTTTAAGACATTGTAGCTCACCACAAACTTGAATACCTGGCTTTAAGCAATCCTCTCACCCGGGCCTCCCAAAGTGCTGGAATTACAGGCGTGACATTGTACCCAGCCCTCAATTGAAACAATATTTCAAGACCACAATCCAGGCTCTGGGGATGCTACTGTCACTGCATTAGCCTTTTTGGTGGACAAAAGTAGGAAAAAAGGCCAGGCATGGTGGCTCATGCCTGTAATCTCAGCACTTTGGGAGGCCAAGGTGGGAGGATCACCTCAAGTCAGGAGTTAGAGACCAGCCTGAAGAAACCCCATCTCTACGAAAAAAATACAAAATTTAGTGGGATGTGACGGCATGCACCTGTAGTTCCAGCTACTTGGGAGGCTGAGGCAGGAGAATCACTTGAATCCCGGGGGAGCAGAGGTTGCAGTGAACTGAGATCACACTGTCGTACTCCAGCCTGGGCAACTCTGTCTCAAAAAACAAAATAAAAGTAGGAAACATATATAATGTAATTATTTGGGAGCTCATCTGATATAAGGAAGAAGAGGGAGAGGTTGAAACCGAGAGGCAATAAATAACTGATACATCCACTCTTTTCTGGCCTTTCTGGCCTTCATTTCTGTGGTCCCCGTTCTGCTGCTTAATTTTATTCCATGGCCAGCAGTTTCTGCCGGGTCCTGTCTGCACAGAACAGGGAGCCCTGGAGGGTCTGTTTCAGGATGTGGAGAAGCTTGATCAACCCCATATGCTGCCTCAGCCCCTCCAAGCTCCCTGCGCTTGGTTGCAGTTTCAGCTGCTCTTCTCAAACTCACTGCCCAGCTTTCTCCTCAATGTCTGCTGCCTATTTCAGGATCCTCCTGTTTTCAGGTCCACCTGGTGCTACCCTGGTTGCCTCCCTCTCCTTCCTCCCCCACAAGTCTTGTGACTGTCAGTGTTTTGTCCTCATTCACTCCTATCTTAGGCTTCACGGACATAGCTTGTCACCAGTTGTGTTATAAACCTTGTCCAGTGGTTTTTGGAGACGGCTAGGCTCATTCACTTAGCTGGTCGTTGGGTTAAGCTGCAAGGGCCACAAAAACTTCACTCAGCTTTCCCTATCATGCAGTAATCTGAGCTTCTTAAAGGCATGGCGGTGGCTTTCCCAGAAAGCACAAAAGGAGAAGCTTCTAGGTCTCCTAAAGGTCAGGCCGTCACTCCCTCCACCTTCTGGTAGTCAGAGCAAGTGGCAAGACCAGCCCACAGTCAAGGGCAGGGACACAGACTCCGCCTCTCAGTGGGAGGAGCTGCAGGTGCCCACAAGCAGAAAGGGGTGGATAGTGTCATCTTCAGAGATGCCAGCTCAGCCTTGTCTGACCCAGAGCCCAAGCAGGTGCCATCCCCCTTAGGAAGCTTGCTGCAGGCCAAATGAACACTGTACCTTAGCTGTCGCTAAAGCGTGGGGCGAGGGAGGGAAAGGATTCCTGCTGTTTCCACTACGGGATTCCACGTAGGTATGAAGTTTCCACCTCGGGCTATGGGGAGCACAGGGGGTGGCACAGGACTGGCACTGTGGAAAAGAATTAACTCCCATCTTTCCTCTCCACCCTTGTCGCTTGCAGGCCCTCCCAGGGCTGGCGGGGCATACGGCTCTGTCAGTGGTAAGTCAAGCCGGGAGCCCTGCCAGGGAGGGCCAGATGGAGAAGGAGGAAAGCACAAATCAGCCCTGTGGCCGGCACCATAAATATTGCTCCTGGGTGTGGGTGGCAGCTCTGCAGGCCCATTTGATCAGCCGTGGAGTGTCAGTGCCTCAGCCCTCCCTGTCTCTGGCCTGAAAGTCTTAATCCGCCTGGCATAACAGCTCCCTGCAGCCTGCGGTGGGGAGGACAGCTGAAGGGGAAGGCAGATAATCTGACGTATCAGGGCCACTCCAAAAGCCACTCTTTTGTTCCCTCCTGGCGGGGGGGAGGTGCATGGGGCTGGCTGCGTGGGGAAGAGCCACCGCCTGGGGCCTTGACATTCTGATGGACCGAAGGGCAGGCATTTTCCTCTCTGATGCCTCGGCTGTTTTTCTGGGGCTGGCTTGGAGCACTGGCAAGGCTGATGCCATATGGCAGTCCCGCTTCCTCAGCCATGGAACTGGATCTTTGCAAATTGGAGAGCAGGCGCTGAGCCTCACTCCTGCTGTCTTCTGTACCTGACTGTCTCCCTTCAAGGTGGAGATTTGACTTTCTGCCTCAGGTCAAATCCACAGGCTGCCCCTTTTATCCTTAGGAAGCAGAAACAGGGAATTCCGCCTGCCAGAACTCCCCAGATATTTTTGCCGTCAGGCTCCCAGTGAGCCAGAGCGGATCAGAGGGTGCAAAGATGAGAGAGGGTGAGGGAGGAAGTTGAGAGCTCCGTGCTGCTGGCATCTCGTGGTCCCCATTCTCCCTGCATTCAGTGTCACTGCATTTTTTTGAACAGGGAAACATTTGAGAGCTCTGATTGTCAAAGTGTAGCTTGAGTCCCATGGGAATCACCTGGGGGAAGCTTTAAAAAATGGCAGGTTCCTGGGCTACCAAGACCTGCCGAATCGTAATCCCTAGAGAAGAGGCATGCTGGAAACTGCATTTTAAACGAGCCCTCTGGCGATTCCTTAACCTTTCTTGTCTTTGATGGCGTTGTTAAGAAAATGGATTCTGAGGCAGGGTGTGGTAGCTCAAGCCTGTAATCTCAGCACTTTGGGAGGCTGAGGCGGGCGGATCATGAGGTCAGGATATCAAGACCATCCTGACTAACTCAGTGAAACCTCTTCTCTACTAAAAATACAAAAAACATTAGCTGGACGTGGTGGCAGGTGCCTGTAGTCCCAGCTACTGGGAGGCTGAGGCAGGAGAATGGTGTGAACCCGGGAGACAGAGCTTGCAGTGAGCCGAGATCACTCCACTGCACTCCAGCCTGGGCAACAGGGTGAGACTCCGTCTCAAAAAAAAAAAGAAAAAAGAAAAGAAAAGAAAAGAAAATGGGCTCCGAAACCAAACTGCCTAGCACCCAAACCGAGCCTAGAAAAGCAGTTTGTGTGGCCGGGTAGCTCATGCCTGTAATCCCAGCCCTTTGGGAGGCCAAGGCAGGGGGACTACTGGAGCCCAGGAGTTTGAGCCAAACCTAGGCAACATACAGAGGTCCCTGTCTCCATTTAAAAAATAATAAATAGGCTGGGTACAGTGGCTCACGCCTGTAATCCCAACACTTCGGAAGGCTGGGGCAGGCGGATCACCTGAGATAGGGAGTTTGAGACCGGCCTGACCAACATGGAGAAACCCTGTCTCTATTAAAAATACAAACTTGTCCAGGCGTAGTGGTGCAAGCCTGTAATCCCTGCTACTCTGGAGGCTGACACAGGAGAATTGCTTGAACCTGGGAGATGGAGGTTGCGGTGAGCCGAGATCGTGCCATTGCACTCCAGCCTGGGCAACAATAGCGAAACTCAGTCTCAAAAAAAAAAAAAAAAAATAATAATAATAATAAGTAGGCTAGGTGTGGTGGCTCACGCCTGTAATTCCAACACTTTGAGAGGCCGAGACGAGCAGATCACCTGAGGTCAGGAGTTCGAGACCAGTCTGGCCTACATGGTGAAACCCTGTCTCTACTAAAAATACAAAATTAGCTGGGCATGGTGGTGCATGCCTGTAATCCCAGCTATTCAGGAGGCTGAGGCAGGAGAATCACTTGAACCCAGGAGGCGGAGTTGGTCGTGAGCTGAGATTGCGCCACTGCACTCCAGCCTGTGCGACAACAGCAAAACTTCATCTCAAAAACAAACAAACAAAATAAATAAATAAATAAATAAACTAATAAGTTATATATATATTAAAAAGAAAAGCAACTTGTTCTTTCTGTATATCAGTTTTCTAATTGACACAACAGGGATGATAATAGCACCTACCCACAGTGTGGAGAGGGTTAAATGTAGATAACAATCATATATTATAATTATGATGATCAAGCACTTTGTTTTGTCCAAAGGCGAAAGGAGGAGGCTGGGAGAGGGGCCGTGCCTGTCTAAGTTCTCTCATCAGTGTGGTGCCAGAGTCAGAGGAGGGCGCAGACCCAGGTCAGGTGCCCAGCTCACCTGCCATGTGTGCTGTCCCGGGCCTCAGTTCCTCAGGGCCCAGCCTGGACTGGGTGGTGACAATGACAAACTGCAGAAAGACACAAACTGAACTCACTTGCCTTTCCCCAGGATATTTTCAAAGTAACGCTGCATTAGCCCATTTCCCTGGCAGACAGGGCAAGGGCTTACTTTAGAAAAGTCAGGGACACTGGCGGTGGGGCTGGAGGAGCTGTGGGTATGTTGCCTGATGTCCTGGCTACTAGGGATGGTGTCAGCAGCATGGGATGGGACTGGTACAGAAGTATATGGAGCACAGCCTTCTGGGAGGGTCCCTGGTCCTGTGGAATAACTGTACAAACAAATGCAACCTAACAAAGGTTTAGTATAACACTAAGAACAATAGCAGATAGAACAGGTTTCCTGTTTATTATATGCCAGCTCTGTTATGTTTATAATCTCATTTGACAGATGGTGAAACTGAGACACAAAGAGTTTAACCAATTCACACCAAGCCATAAAGCTGGTAAAGTGCAATAAGCCTGGGCGGCATCCTGAGGCCTGGGTTTGGGTTCCATCTTTACCCTGAGTAGGGGTGCAGTGAGGTCTATTGGAATGGCCTGTGTCCAAACCCCAGCTATGTTACTCACCACCCGTGTGACCTTGGGAAAGCCACTTAGCTTCCCTGAGCCTTGGTTTCTCCGTCTGTTAGATGGAAATAACCATTACCTTGCAAGGCTGATGCAACAGTTAAGAGTCTAGCAGCAGGTATTAATTTCCTACTGCTGCTACAATAATTACCACAAATTCAGTGGCTAGAAACATCATACCTTCGTTCTCATACAGTTCTGGAGGACAGACGTCCAAAAATAAGTCCTACAGGGCTAAAATCAAGGCATCAGCAGGGCTGGCTCCTTCTGGCAGCTCCAGGGAAGAATCTGTTCTTTGCCCTTTTTTCTGGCTTCTACAGGCCTCTTGCATTCCTTGGGCACAGGCCACATCACTCCAATCTCTGCTTCTGTTGTCACATTGCCATCCTCTCTTCTGTACTCAATCTCCCCCTGCTCCCTTTATGAGGACACTTGTGATTACACTGCCCCTGCTCCGATAATCTGGGATAATCTCCCCATATCAGAATCCTTCACTTCATCACATCTGGAAAAGTTTTTTTTTTTTTTTAACCATGCAACAGAACATATTCACAGGTTCTGGGGATTCGGACATGACATCTTTGGGGGTCACCCTCCGGCCCACTGCACAGGAACTAGCAAAAAGGAGGGTGAGACAGGTGGTCATTTTATATTCTAGCCTCAGGTCACTGCCAACTAGTATTGATTCTGGGCAAGGCATTTTACTTCCCTGAGTCTCGGCATCCTCCTCTGTGAAGTAGGGGCAATGATAGAGGCTGTCAAATGAGGGAACTGCATTCAGAGGTGAAGATGGTCGGTGGATATTTGTTGCATGAGTTTGGGAAATGATGCACAGACTCTGAGGTCCCTGTGCTTCTTAGTATATGCCCCGGACAGAGGAGGGGAGGCCTCAGGAGGGAGGCTCACTCCACAGCATGGAGGAATGGGGTCGGAACAGGGTGAATCAGAGGCCGCACTTCTGGAGGTGCATCTGGAGTGGTGGACACTGTTATTGCAAGCCTGCTGCTGCTGCTTGTGATGGGGGCACAGTCAAGCACAGTGGGATCTGATGGGTCTTGGCCCCTTGGTGTCTGATGGGTCTGGGAACTTAGCCACAGCACACCCCTGGTCTGGCTTGGTTTTTTTGTTGTTGTTGTTTTGTTTTTTTTAGATGGAGTCTGGCTCTATTGCCCAGGCTGGAGTGCAGTGGCATGATCTCAGTTCACTGCAACCTCTGCCTCCCGGGTTCAAGCAATTCTCCTGCCTCAGCTTCCTGAATAGCTGGGACTACAGGCACGTGCCACCACACCCGTCTAATTTTTTGTATTTCTAGTAGAGGCAGGGTTTCACTGTGTTAGCCAGGATGGTCTCTATCTCCTGAGCTTGTGGTCCGCCCGCCTCAGCCTCCCAAAGTGCTGGGATTACAGACATGAGCCAACGCGTCTGACCGCACTTCCTGATTTCAAAACTACAGGACCAGGTGTGGTGACTAATGCATGTAATTTCAGTACTTTGGGAGGCTGAGGCAGGAGGATCACTTGAGCCCAGGAGTTTGAGACCAGCCTGGGCAACAAAGGGAGATCCCGTATCTACAAAAATAAAAAATAAAAAAAATTAGCCAGGCATGGTGGCAGGCTCCTGTGGTCCCATCTATTAGGGAGGCTGAGGTGAGAAGATTTCTTGAACCCAGGAAATCAAGGCTGCAGTGAGTCACGATTAGTGCCACTGCAGTCCAGCCGGGGCATCAGAGGAAACTCCATCTCAAAAATAAAAAAATAATTAAAATAAATTAATTAAATTAAAATGCATACAATTCCCCAGGATGGTGCTTACACTTGTAATCCCAGCTCTTTGGGGGACCAACGGGGAGGACTTCTTGAGGCCACAAACTTCAACATAGGGAGACCCTGTCTCTACCAAAACTAGGAAAACATTAGCT